ATGGCAGATATGAGAGAATCAGTTCCATCAGGTCGTCGCCGAATCTGTCCATCGAGTCATTCATGTATGGCATGTCTTGCGTGTCATCACTTCGGCACCGGTTATACCCACAACTGGTTCCCTCTCCGAAGTCGTGGCCGCCCTTATCATCGCTGTTATCATGTAATCGCAATTCACTCAAACTCTCGTTCATTTCATCTATATTTTGAGCCATACTATCGGTTCCAATGATATCACAAATTGAGAAATAAAACCCAATTTCTTGTTATCTATTAATTTTCTGAAAACAATAAAAACATTTTGAAATAAGTCTAAAATCATATCTAAAAAACCGAAAGTCAAGTAATAGTGAGAGAAAAAAGTTTGAACACAATATGAAACACACAATACCTTTGGGACCGGAGATAACAGTAGAGAACACAAAAGTTTTTGCTCCAAAAAGTTGTCTCAAAATATATTTGTATAAAAAGTTATGACAACAAAAATCGACACAAAATAGTGGTCTTAAAAACGCTAAACAGTAAATGAAAGGCTTTTGAAACGCAATTTCAATATTTATGTGAAACCCTATGAGAAACAAACGCCCACTAAATGTACGTTCAATTGATATGCATTTGGCGTCAACTCTGGCGTCGGTTCATGTCTTCGGTGTTAACTGTTTGGCAAACTTTTGGCACGTTTTGTGGTAAACGGTGTCTCAGATGTATTGCCAGCATTGGTGCCAATGGTTTGGTACGAGAAGTAATTGCTGACAATACATGACTCTCTCAATGAGATAAGTGTTATGTTGTGTATTAACTGTTGCCAAGTGTTTGCCTGACGTCTCCTCTCGACGTTTTGTGTCACAAAAAGTTTGGCAAAACTTTTTATTTTTTGTTTCCTTTCGTTTCGACACAAAATAAATCTTTGATTTGGCCTTCGATTCACTTCTTGGCCATCGTTTCTATACAATTGTCATCCAATATAACTATTAACTCGTGCTATAAATTATACCCCTTTTATCGTCAACACAAACACCTTATTCTTGACAATTGTCTAATATTTTTAAATTTTAGTTTTAAACTTTCCATTAGTTTTTGCAGAGTTTGCTTATGTTTTAATTAATTTTTTATGTATGAAAATTGCATTTAATTAAAGGGTTTAATGAATGAATGAATCATAAACTTAATACATAGACATTATGAATGCAAACACCAGTTATTAAGACAAGAATTTCTAAAATTTATATCAAGTATTAGGAGTCGACGAGAA